AGCTTCCTTCAAGATTACAGCCTTGAAATCCCAGAGGGCAACTCCACTCAGTCCTATCCTCCTCCTCCTCCTCCTCCTCACTGCCCTCAAGTCAGTTCAGATCAGTAGTGACCCTCTCAGGGCTGGGCAGAACTGGCCCTAGGGGTTTCTGAGATTGTGAATCCTTACCGGAGTAGAAAGCCTCGTCTTTCTCAGAGCAGAGTGGCTGGTGGTTCCGAACTTCTGACCTTTCCGTTAGCAGCAACGCATAACCAGTACTCTATGAGGACTCCCCTGTCCTTACAAGGTTCCCCAAAGTAGGAAATTACGAACAGCACAAAACTACAATAAGCCTCAGCAATTTCTTAGTGTTGTTTGCAAAAAGCTGACTTCCTTCTCTGCTTTCCCTGCTACCCCACCCCCACCCCCATGTACCCCTTGCTGAGAGCCTCAGACTCATTCCAACTGCCCACCTGGGCTTCCTGGGCCTCACTCTTTAAGGGACTAGATTGCTGGGCTTTTCTCCCTAGGAGCAGCTGACCTTTTTGTTAGCAACCAAGAGCTAAAACCTTGGGGTGCCAAGGCTCCTTTGTTGGTCTCCAAGGCGAAATAAAGCAGAAAAATATTCAGAACCCACAAGATCTTTAGAAAACTGTGACCAAATAGAGGTTCACACTACCAATACTATGTTATTGCTTAGACAATTAAAACATGGGGGGTCTCGATAGCACTGAGTGATTAAAAATGAAGAGTCACCGCTTTGAGCCAGGAAGTCCAAAGAGCCCATGTGGGGTGCCTCTTTTGCCCTCAGAAGTGGAAGAAGGGCCTGGCAGGCCCATTCCTCCCGGTCTGTGGGACTGGGAAAAGCCTGTTGTTAGGACGAGGAATTCTCTTCCCTTCTTGTTCCTTAAAGGAAAAGCTGACGCTCACGCTTGGCATTGCCAACCCCACCAAAGCAAGCATCTCCCAGCCTTTCAAGTCTAAATGGTATTCCTTTCAGAGAAGATTCCAAATGGATAAACCTTCAACCCCACTGACATCGCGTCTATTTGATGCATAGAGACCCATATCCTTTATCGGGGCAGATGGCATCAACTTTCTCCCGCAGAGCAGCTGGTGGGTTTGAAGCACTGACCTTGCTGGGAGCAGTCCAACACTTAGCTGACAGCGCCACTAGGTTGCCTCTTCGAATACACCTTAGACCTTTATAAACAACAATGCTGGCACCTGTCAATGAATTTCTACATGTTTTCTCTGTTTCTCTGTTTAGAGTTTTCTCCACTTGGTGGGTGTTCCGCACCCCGAGAGACAGTGCCGGATTGAGTATAGACAAAGGAAATGATGCTCGCTGGGCCGCGGGAGGGCCAGGGCCTCCACGAGGAGTGATGCCACCCATCTGCCACCATCCGCTAACCTGGCAGCGGCCACAGTCAGCCCTGAGCTCTACTAAAGTGTTCTGCTTAACTCGGCTTTAGGATTTAGTCAAGAAAATGCCCTCCTGGCGTATAGGTTTGGTGTCTCAGGAGTGAACCAAAGACCGTCACCCTCACAGCCAGAGAGCTGACTATATAACTTAGGGGGAGATGGTTAAGTGGCCCCAAACCAAATACATGAAAGAAAAGTCATTTCTTGAGAAGCTAGACTTTGGTTTTCATGCATAACTAGCTTAAAACTTTCCATTAAAAGAGTAGCATTGAAGAAAACTCTTAGTGCACTTGATTCACTGTGAAAGCATGCTTCAATGTCCACTCTGGGACAGGAACTGTTTCGATTCTAAAGAAATACGAAGTCACGATGTCTGGACCTATTCTGTTTTTCTAAGAATCCGAACGGGCACTTGGAATGCTTTAGTTCTGTGAGTAGAATCTTGCTTGTGAACATGTCTGATGTGCACTGTGTGGATAAAAGGGTAGCATTCTAAACCCTCCTGCTGCCGTGAGACACCGGCACTTGGTGTCATTTGC